CCCAACCCTAATCTTGTGTCTCCCTGATTACATATTTTTTAACAAAAATTTGCTGATCATGATCAGTGATGTTCTGCGGGAGCTGCATGATCATTTCAGCTCGTTGCAAAGAAAATACCTTTAGGCTCTTTACGTAGTGGCTGGAGACTTTAATCACGTGAATCTAAAGGACTGCCTCCCATGATTTTACCAACATGTGGAAACAACACGCTGGACCATGTTTACACGAACGTAAAAGATGCATACAAAGCCGAACCCCGCCCCCACCTAGGATTCTCTGATCACATCTCAATCTTCCCAGCTCCTGCTTTTAGAGGTTCACACCCTGCTAGAAGCCAGGAACACTGCCTTCAGGTCTGGAAACTCACAGGAGCTGAGAAGGACAATGAAAGATCTGGTTGGTTGTATTAAGAGGGCCAAGGCCACATATGCACAGAGGAATGAGGGTCAATTCACCTCAGTCAATCAACCTTTATTTCTACAGGTAAATCCCATTGAGCCTCGAGGACTCATTTACAAGAGAGACCTGATTTCAACAAAGAATGATGACAACAATGGACAACAGCAACAACAATAAGCAGTTATAAAAAAGCATACTACAGGTTTTTTTTTTTTAACAAATAGGATGGCTAAAAGAAAAAGGTAACAAAAACAACAACAAAAAAAACCAACAAAAAAACAGCTAGATTCTAAGACAAATGTAGAAAACTAAAAACAGGAACATGTCTGCATTGGACCCTGCCAGGAGTCCAACAGATTCTTAAAGACACTTAGAAAGGTCAAGGTCGAGAGCTTCAAATCTTTTTGTAAGATATTCCAGGAAACAGGAGCGGAGTAGGAGAAGGCCCTTTTGCCTAGTTCAGTTCTCACTGAGGGAACACTGCAGGTAATGATGTCCTGAGAGCGCACGCTGTAGCTGCACGCACACAGAGACATGTAGGAGGAGATGTATGAAGGCAGCAGACCAGGAAGTGATTTAAAGATGAAAATGTACCAGTGAGAGAGTCTGTGTGAAGTTAATGGTGACCAGTTAACCAGTGGATACTGGGTGCAGTGGTGGGTACGATAATCACAGCCAGTTATGAATCTTAGTGCACCATGATAGACAGCATCCAACATCTGCAGCATCCAACATCTGCAGCATCCAACATCTGCAGGGTTCTTGTAGGAGCGTTCATGTAAATAATGTCACTGTGATCAATTGAGGGAAGGAAAGTCACAGATACAAGGTGTTTCCTAACATTCAGAGTTAGACAGGATCTGTTTCTGAAAAAGAAACCCAGTTTAACTTTCAGTTTCTTTAACAAGTTTTGATGTGCAGCTTAAAAGAAAGATGTGAGTCGACCAAGATACCCAAATATTTATAGGAATCAATAAACTCAATGGGGACACCATTTGAGGATAAAATCGGAGGAAGAACTGCTGGGACCAACTTCCTATTTGAAAAAAGCATCCCTTTGGTTTTGTCGGCATTTAGGACAAGTTTGAGGCGGAACAAATCTGTCTGGATGTTGTTGAATGCAGATTTCAAAAGCTGGAAAGCCTTAGCAACAGTTTTAGCTCGACAATAAATAACTGTGTCATCAGCACAAGACCCACGGAGCATGTGGAGGGGCATTAAGTGCTTAAAAGATTATAAAAGAAGAAGTGAACAATGTCCCAAAGAACAATCTCTGCCTGATGCTCTCAACAAGTTCTATGCATGCTTAGAAGACCCGAACAGACCACCCAGCACCAGACTTACCTCACTACTGGAAGAAGAGCTTTTTAGCGTGACCTAAGCCGAAGTGAGGAGTACCTTCAGGAGTATTAACCCTCAGAAAGCAACTGGCCCAGACAACATCCTCGGGAAGGTGCTGAAAGAATGTGACGATCAGCTCTGTGAGGTGCTGGCAGACGTCTTTAACACCTCACTTACCCTGGAGACAGTTCCCACCTGCCTGAAGACTGCCACCAACATCCCAGTCCCAAAAAGCTCTACAGTGACTGGTCTGAAAGACTATCGTCCAGTGGCCCTCACCCCGATAGTCGCTAAATGCTTCAAAAAACTGGCCATGAGTCACATCAAGGCAACCATCAACATCAACGAGGACCCTCATCAGTATGCATACTGGGAGAACTGATCAACAGAGGACAACATCTCCTCTGTGGTCCACACTGCTCTCACCCACCTGGAGTAGAAGGACTCGTATGTCCAAATGCTCTTTGTGGACTTCACATCTGCCTTCAACACCATGATCCCCCAAACCCCGATGGACAAACTACTCACACTAGGACTAAGCCCCTCCATTTACAACTGGGTACTAGACATCTTAACAGACTACTGTCACTGAGGATACACAACTTCTCCTCCACCATAACCCTCAGCACTGGCTCTCCTCAGGGATGTGTGTTGAGCCCTCTCCTGTTCACTCTGATTATGTATGATTGTGCAGCTACCCATCCAGGCTGTCACATTGTAAAGTTTGCAGATGATACAGCGGTGGTGGGATGCATCACAAACAATGATGAGTCCAGCTACAGGCAAGAGGTGGAACACCTGGAGAGCTGGTGCAAAGAGAATAACCTTCACATCAATGTGAGAAGACGAAGAAGATGGTTGTGGACTGCAGAAAAATCCCCCCCAACCCCCACCCCCCGGGATCTGTGGTGGAAGTGGTCTCCAGCTACAAGTACTTGGGTGTGCACCTGAACAACAACCTCAGCTGGAGCAACAACACCACCAGCCTGATGAAGAAAGCTCATCAGAGACTCTACTTCCTCAGGCGGCTGAGACGAGCTGGTCTGGAAGCTCAGTCCTCACCTCCTTCTACAGGTGTGCAGTGGAGAGCATCCTGTGCTCCAGCATCAACGTGTGGCATGGAGGCTGCACAGCTGCAGAAAGAAAAGCTTAGCAGAGAGTGGTGAAGGCTGCACAGAAATCTGTCGGAATCAGCCTCCCCACCATCACAGACATCTACACCTCCAGATGCAGGAAGAGGGCCACCTGCATCATGAAGGACCCCACTCACCCAGCACACACACTTTTTGCCCCACTCCCCTCAGGAAGGAGGTTAAGGAGCATTAAGTGTAGAACCACTAGACTGAGGAACAGCTTCTACCCTGAGGCTGTTAGATTCATGAATCTCTAACTCTATTTCATGTTGCTGCTGAACTGTTTCATGTTGCTGCTGATCTGTTTCATGTTGCTGTTGAACTGTTTCATGTTGCTGCTGATCTGTTTCATGTTGCTGCTGAACTGTTTCATGTTGCTGCTAAACTGTTTCATGTTGCTGCTTAACTGTTTCATGTTGCTGCTAAACTGTTTCATGTTGCTGCTGATCTGTTTCATGTTGCTGCTGATCTGTTTCATGTTGCTGCTAAACTGTTTCATGTTGCTGCTAAACTGTTTCATGTTGCTGCTGATCTGTTTCATGTTGCTGCTGATCTGTTTCATGTTGATGTGTTCATTCGTACTCATCTGCTCACATAGACTCACGTTCATGCTGCTGTTCGGCGTATTGTTTTTATTGTTTTTATGTTATGAGTGCTTAGTATGTATTTAGTTTATTTTTTTCTTAGGTCATATCTTTGACGTTATTACTGTTTTCCTTTTACATTTTATTGTTGGATGTAACTGGGACCCTGTGGACATAATCTCGTTCCACCACATGTACATGACAAATAAAGAATCTCTGACTCTGACTCTGAATATTGATATGAATTGTCTGTGGTCCGGCTGCTTAGTCTGATCATTCTTGGTGGATTTAATGATTGAATATCCCTGGAGTGTGAACTTCTTCATTGCTAACCTGACTTGGTGCTCCCACTTTTTGACACCTTTGGTCCTCATGTATGCGTCACTGTTGAAAACATCTCCATGTCTTCCTGTCTTCAAGACTGGACTATTGCAATGTGTTTCTTTTTGGCATTTCTAATGCGGGGGTTCTCAAACTTTTGCGCTCAGGGACTCCCTCTTAACCCTCATGTTAAATATTGTCTTCAATTTGTCACTTTAATGCAATGGCAATACTTGTGTAACATAAATACTTAAGAGCTGTTCTTTAATAGTGTTAATACAATTTTTATACTTTTAAACATGGGGTATTTTTCATTCAAGACACAATTAACAATTTTTTAAATTTCAACTTCAAAAGATTACAGTTTTGTGAAAATTAACAGCATCAAAATCCACTTTAAAGCTTTACGTATTTGCTTAATGAACATAATGAACGTATCGCCACTTCAGATTACTACAGAAAACTCTTTACATGCAACTGAACAGAATCGGAACAGCAGGAGTCAGACCAAGTAACGGCTTCATTTGTAAACAGATCCATGCAGGAACGCAAATAGTGGGCGGGTAGGGGGGTCTGGGGGGTCCTCCCCATAAAATTTTAAATAAATAAAGTAGATGCGATTTCCTGCATTTTCGTGTATTTTAACGGGTTGTTAAACATCTATGTACTTGCAAATAAAATAATAATTTAAAAATGTATTACTATTATTATTTTGATGTGGACCCCCAAGCACCAACTCGCGGACCCCCGGGGTCCGGGCACCCCAGTTTGAGAACTACTGCTCTAATGAAACCCTTCAAAAGCTCCAGTTCATCCAAAAGTGTGCCGCGGTCCCTGCCAGAATTCACAAGGTCTGTCTTTGGACACCCCCCGCTCACCCACACAGCAGAACTGGTTCTGTCCGTTCCAATGTTCGTCCGTATGATCCTTCAACAAAACGATTATTAGCATTTTTCTGAACCTGGTTTGATTTTTATTGTTCTTGTTTATGGAGCCAGAAGCCAGTCCTTAGCAGGTCTTGACAGATCCCTTAAACAACACACAGCTGTAAAAGAACCAGTACAGAACCAAAACCTGAACCAGCAAATGGACTACTCAGCTGTGACTTGGCAGGAGACACACCTGAGCAGGTGTGTGTCATAACTGACCCATTAGCAAGCAGTAAACAGGTTCTAAAGGCTCTGAGACACCTATGTGTAAGGTGAAGGATGGAGACCTTACCTGCTGAAGCTTTGCAGTGTCCTTCAGACTCTACCTGTCCCTCAGACTCTACCTGTCCCTCAGACTCTACCTGTCCCTCAGACTCTAC